GAGAACAAAATCGTCACTTCCTGATTAACTTGCGCTAAATATCACGAAGAAAAATTTAATTAGCTGCAGTTGGAGAAGGCACTGCATATAATAATTTTTGAATACAATAAATTACGAGCAGAGGCGGACAGTAGTGAAGTATTTTTTGTTATTTTGATGGGCTTTTATGCCTTTTTGTAGTGAAGTATTTTTACTTTACTCAAGTAAATAAATAAAAAAAAAGAAGCCACTTTTTGGCCGCTGCCGAGACGGTAAAGTGCCTGTATTTGCAGAAAGTGTGCTACTCACAGTCTGTTGCCATGCCGACAGCGATGCATTTCTTGAAGCGACATTCTTGGCACTGGTTGCGCGTGACTTTGTCAATGACGCACTTGCCCTCGTACTTGCACGCGTATGTCGGGTTCAAGTTCTTCTGAATTGTGCGTCGAAAAAAACCCTTTAAAAACAAGAATTCATTTAATTGCTAAGCATGAACCTTCCTAGAAATATCATAACGGAGTAGTTCAAACTGAGTGTGATACATGTGGCGTGTAATTAATGTAATAAATACTGTACTTAATGCACTTTTAATAAACACTTTTATGTTTTCATATGAAGGAATTTTCCGTATTGATTTTTAACAGGTGCGAGTTAGTGCAGAGGCCTTAGACTAGATCTAGACTAAATGTGAACATGCATTTACTCATCTCAAGCACACACAAACAGATTCAGTATTCCTCTAAATAAATAGAAACAGTGAAATGCTAACTCTGAATGTGACGCAAACCCGCAATAATCTAATATGTTAAATGACACCAATATCATTTTTGGATTTAATCCAATTATGCTAAAAAAAGTCTTCGATTATTCAATTCAACCATACTAATGAGCAAAAATGACTTTAGACAACCACAAAATAATCCCAGCCAAGATAAAAAGTATAAAAAGTAGCCCCCATAAAAAGTAACTTACTAAGTAACACATTTAGTTACTTTTTTTATGGAGTAACGTAATATTGTAATGCATTACTTTAAAAAGTAACTTTCCCCAACACTGCTAGCTAACACTGATTTATATTTCTGAGTGGCAAAAATGAAGGCTATAACAGAGAACACAGACATAAAATGGCAGCAAAAACTATTCAGACTCTTAAGCCACACTTAAAAATTGTCGAATACCATTGCACTAGAATGAAGTTATCAAAGCAAGTGTCAAGCCAAGTTGTTCAGTTATGCAGTAATTCATTACGAAAATCTTAAAAGGCACAACCACACACACACACAAAAATATAAAAAATCTGAAGGTAATGTGACAGAAATGTCTGAGCTCAATGCACTTGAGCAGAATGCGATCGGCGTCGCATTGGCGACATGAAGTCGTGAAGCAAACTGCGTGAAAATTGCCTGGAGGACACCGGCTCTTATATATGGAGAATCCACCCGCCCCACTCGCCCCTCGCCCTGCCAAATTGGGTGGAAGATTTCTGAGCACGCTCTCTTAATCTGACACCGGACAAATCCAAGAGGTTGAACAGCCGGGGACACATCCTCGGACGGAAGGCCGTCATACATGTGCATGACGCACCTTCAAACAGATCAGACCATGCTAATGTCGCCATCAGACCCAGCCTGGCTAAGACGGTGAGATTACAATCACAATCCCAAAAAGCTGAAGTTTATTGATTTCAGATATGAGGCGCTTCAAGCGCTGGTCTTAAGCTGTGATCAGTCATATTGATTGTCATTTGGCCTAATCCTAAATGGAGTGACTCGTGAGGGTTTCAGACATAGGCGGCATTTACTGATGCATAACTTCATGCAAATGACCATGCAATTAATAAAATGTGGCCTGCCATCAGTCCATTTACTGTCCTATAGAAAAACACACTTTTATACATGCACACTACAATGTCTGCAGAATCAGAATGCATTACCACAGAAGATGTCCTTGTTTATACAAACAAACAAAATGTGCTGATAGTTGTGCACTTACAAATGGAAGTATACTAGAAGACCACTGTATGCCTGCCATTTATCTACATATTTTGGTTACACTTTATTTTAAGGTGTCCTGGTTACATTGTAGTTATACATTTAAGTACTGAGTAATATTTATTAACTACATGTACTTACTATATGAGTAGGGCTAGGTTTAGGGTTACTTGCATGTAATTATGCATAATTTATTGGGTTACACTTTATTTCGATAGTCCACTTTAGACATTCTACTAACTATAAGTAACTTTGTAACTACATGTCAACTACATGTCAACTAATTCTCATTAATTTGTAACTACATGTCTACTAACTCTCAGAGTAGACGGTAGGTTTAGGGTTAGTAGAATAAGTTGACAAAGAAAGTGTTAGAAGATATTAAGCAGATAGTCTACTAATACTCTACTAACTGCTAGTTGACATGTAGTTGCAAAGTTACTTACTGTTAATAGAATGTCTAAAGTGGACTATCGAAATAAAGAGTTACCATTTATTGTTATTATAATAGTAAGTACATGTGACGTGTAACAAGGACACCTTAAAATAAAGTGTTACCCGTATTTTTCATCTGAAAAAATTAGGAGTAACACTTTACAGTAAGGTTCCATTTGTTAACTATATTTAATGCATTAATTAACATTAACTGACAATAAGCAATGCATTACAGTATTTATTTTTATTTGATAAAGTTAGTTAATAAAAATACAACTGTTCGTAAGCACAGGTCCACTGAATAACATTAATAGATACAACTTTTGATTTTAATAATGTATTAGTAAATGTTAAAATAAAGATTAATAAATGCTTTAGAAGTATTTTTCAGTGTTAATGTTAACTAATGTAGTTAACTAATGTTAACAAACGGAACCTTATTGTAAAGTGTTACCAAATTAGGACAACGTTCTTTTGTAATCTTAACTGTAATACAAATGCAACGTCTATATAACCTTAAATAAATACAAGTAACATTGAAACGCATTATGAAATAACTGTCACCACACATTTTATTCAGCCAGCAATACAATATTTTTTTTACTCTCCCTAGCTTCAATCACTGTCTACATACTGAAGTATCAGTAAAAATACTGAAAAAAAAATCTTCAGGAATATACAATAAAACAGTGCCTGAGATCAAACGAACTCTGTGGTGGAAACTGGGTTATGAGGCTAAGAGTTAAGACAGCCAAAGTGAGCCGCAGGTAACAGCTGTTTTTAGCAAGGGCTCCTGAGGCAAAGCCCCTCCACAACACAGCCTGATACCAGTTTAACTTTTTGATGAGGTGACCGTCTCACATAAGCCTAATCTTCACAGGGATTTCATAAAGATTTCAGCCGCCAAAAACAACAATCAGACACATTAGCACACATCTGAACAATCTGTCTCTGCTCTGTGCTTCAACAAACAAACAAACAAAAAAACCCAACCTCCAAATATTTACAAGATATATTTTCAGTATATGTGATTTATACTATGATATAGAATACCACAAAACCCATCTAAGAAATCGTTTTCAGATTAGGAATCTTAAAAAGCTGGTAACACTTTCGTATAGGGAACAATTCTCACTATTAACTAGTTGCTTATTAGCATGCCTATTATTAACATATCAGCTGTTTATTAGTGCTAATAAAGCACATGTTCTGCATGACCATATTCTACATCCATAATCCTAAATTTAACAACTACCTTACTAACTATTAATAAGCAGCAAATTAGAGGAGTTTATTGAGGCAAAAGTCATAGTTAATGGTTTGTTAATACGGAGAACTGGACCATCAATGCTTTATTGATTTGCTTAATTATAATTTTTTATTTTTAGGCGCAAATGGTTAAAGTGCTCTAGATCATGATAGGTGAACTGCATTCAACATCTAGCGTTCTGGATTAGAGCCTGTGCCCTTTGACAGCCCTTCGCCACTTTGGCCATTTCCACCACCATTTGCATATGATCATTATCAAACTGTAAAGGATTTCTATGCCCAGTAATTAAAATATCCAGGACTGGTGACGTTCTTGACATTGCAGATGTTACCCCTCAACATCCAAACCCAATACATCAGAACAGGTTTAAAACAAACACATACTGTTACTTTGGACTGCAGTTATCATAACGTAAAATCTTACTGAAGAAGAAAAATGACAAACTTACCAAAAATAACTCAACCTAGATTTAAGGAAGAAACGCCCTCTCACAGTCCCAACCGCAGCCTCCTCAAAAAGAGAACACCTCCGTAACCCTACTGCTCACTCTCCGAGTCTCAGCACACCTATGATATAGAATACCACAAAACCCATCTAAGAAATCGTTTTCAGATTAGGAATCTTAAAAAGCTGGTAACACTTTCGTATAGGGAACAATTCTCACTATTAACTAGTTGCTTATTAGCATGCCTATTATTAACATATCAGCTGTTTATTAGTGCTAATAAAGCACATGTTCTGCATGACCATATTCTACATCCATAATCCTAAACTTAACAACTACCTTACTAACTATTAATAAGCAGCAAATTAGAGGAGTTTATTGAGGCAAAAGTCATAGTTAATGGTTTGTTAATACGGAGAACTGGACCATCAATGCTTTATTGATTTGCTTAATTATAATTTTTTATTTTTAGGCGCAAATGGTTAAAGTGCTCTAGATCATGATAGGTGAACTGCATTCAACATCTAGCGTTCTGGATTAGAGCCTGTGCCCTTTGACAGCCCTTCGCCACTTTGGCCATTTCCACCACCATTTGCATATGATCATTATCAAACTGTAAAGGATTTCTATGCCCAGTAATTAAAATATCCAGGACTGGTGACGTTCTTGACATTGCAGATGTTACCCCTCAACATCCAAACCCAATACATCAGAACAGGTTTAAAACAAACACATACTGTTACTTTGGACTGCAGTTATCATAACGTAAAATCTTACTGAAGAAGAAAAATGACAAACTTACCAAAAATAACTCAACCTAGATTTAAGGAAGAAACGCCCTCTCACAGTCCCAACCGCAGCCTCCTCAAAAAGAGAACACCTCCGTAACCCTACTGCTCACTCTCCGAGTCTCAGCACACCGCTCGCTGGTTTATGTAGGAACTGTGTGTTCAGTTTGGCAGGTCTGAGTGATTATGCACCGACTAGCATGTTTTCCACCAATTTATTCCCTCCGGGATTGATCATTTGAGGTCCCCGGGTTCACGGCTGGTCATGTTGAGTTTTCGGATGGTGGCCCTCTGGGGACAGCACTGGGGATAGGGCCTGGGTTGACATGGCTTCCTGAGCCAGATGTCCCCAGCGTTACCTGAGCAGAGAGCTTCGCTGAGGCCACCTTCAACACACGGCCAGGGTGACCTGAGGGAAAGTACAAAACAATACGCTCTCATCCATACAAGACTCGCCAGTGACTCCCAACAGCACAAAGACAAAAGACCCACAGCGAGGGACTCGTGATGACTCGATGTGATTTACAAGAGAAGTCACGCTACAAGCTGTCATGGCAAGAGGCCTTGATCAACACTATTAGTGATCTAGACATAACTGATCAAAATGGTCACTGA